TACGCAAACATGAAATAACTTTTTTTTTCATTCTTTATGGTCTTTAAAGTTTGAGTTGATTTTAATTAACTACATGTTAAAGCTGCATTATGTAACTTTTGTAAAAAAAAAAAAAGAAAAAGAAAAATGTTTGCTAGGTATTTGTTTATTACCATTATGTTGTGTGAGTTATACAAAACAGATAAAATGAAAAAATTCAAGCTCCCCTGCCTAATTCCAGTGTTCCCAGTACTAACTGCAGAAATACACCACTCAGTCAGAATCAATCAACCAATCAGAGGCAGGAGGAGGGTCTTAGTGCTGTCAGTCATGTTTTGTATATGCTGCTTATGTTTTTTTAACCCGCTGTCTGTGAGGTATTGCTTCTGGGTTTTCAATTCAGTTTATTTGAGATATTTTGAAAGTAGGAGTTTTGTTTATGTGTGGCCAAGTCTCATCTTGGCATTTTCTGTAAAAGGGTAAATTGATAACTTTTTATAATTTTCTTATTATTATTTTTAATATAATAAAATCAAAACATTTAAGGAAGCAAAATCTGACAGTTCAGTGTTTGTGAATACTTACCTCTGTCATTTCCTTCTCCCAGGAGATCTGAACAGGCAGTAACATTCCTCGTTCAGATTTTATCAGCTCTGGGACTGAACCACACTAGGACATGGATAAAGGTCTGTATTTTCATATTACTGTGTTTTCTGTGTTAAGCTTTGAGTACCTATTGGGATTGAATTAAGATGTGTTTCGTCTTGGTTTGTAAGACAAACTACTGAAACCAGCTAGCCTGCCATTACTGCTCAGCCAAGTTACATTAGCTCTTTGGTTAATGTAAATATTCTTGTTTGCTGACCATTTTGTAGTCGTGTATTTCGCATAATGGTTTTTCCTATTTTAATTTATTTAAAACAGCTTCTAATTTTGTCAGTTTAAGCCGCCATCTTGTGAGGGGCAACTCGCTCTAAATCCACCATACTCCAAAGCCCTAAATTTTATCCATCTCTGCGGTGAACTGAGAATCAATTTTCCAAAATGTTTTCAAAATCTTATTCAACAAATTAATCAAACTTTGTTTTTTAAAAAAAAAAAAAAAAAAAAAAAACTTCTATATTTCTACTTTGCATTACAAATTGGTTATATGGCTTGGAGCACATAGCAAATTTGTCACTTGGTCTAAACTAATCTTAGTTTAGAGCTAAGCGTTGGAAAGGAAACATGGGGATCAACAAATAAGATATTAACTAATACATAATTCTGTACCATAATAGGGGCAGATTTATCATGTGACACTGAATAAGTAAAACTAATCTGTGGTGACATGTACACATTTCATAAAGAGTGATTCTCTGATATGCAGTTTTACTTTTCCCTATTGCGGTTTAACCTTTTTGGAATTCAACAAGGTCATGTCAGGTCATATTATGCTGTACGTTGATTTTACCATATCTGAGCTGCAATTCAGAGAAATGGGTAAACACAGAGAAAAAGATGGAATATATGGGGAGATAAATGTGGAAGCTAACAGCTAATCAAATGTACACTGACTGTTTTAGGTGTACTTTTAAATGTTTTCACAAATAAAAAAAATCTAAAAATTGTGTCACTATAGGCTCTAACATCCCAGAATAAAACCCACTGCAACCAATTGGTTGGGATGGAGGTGGGTTCTGCATGCAGGCCAAAAAGAATACTTTTTTTTTTGTCTAATCTGACTACTGCTTCCACAAGTTTACATGGCTTTCAATACATATTTAAGGGGACTTTTTGTGTTAATTTTTCAACCATAGCTTTCCTATTTCAATTTGCATCTGTAATAGTTATAACAGCTTCTTGTAGCTGAGTAGAGGACCTTTACAGCTCCTCCAAAGAGACCATGAATTGAAAGTAAACAAATTACTTTACAACCTAACACATATCATGTTTTCCTTGACCTAAGTGGTCTGTTTTTGTTGTTTTTTTTTTTGTTTTTTTTTTTTGGTCATGCAAAGAGTAAAAGGACTCAAATTCTTTGGTGTAATCTTAGACTATAGAGTCTGTTGCAAACCAGGCGTGAAATGTGTCTAAGGAACGCTGGATCGGATAAAAACCAGATGGATTTGTTAATCCAACATATTATGCTAAACGTATCTGAGCTGGAATTCAGAGAAATGGATAAACACAGAAAAAAGTAATATAGAATCAATAAGGGCCAATAGATTAATCAATAACATTACCACACAAATTAACCCCCCCCCCTCCCAAATCCAAAGCTGTAAAACTACAAGATCTAATTCACAAACAACATTCAAAGCATGCTATTCTCAGGAATGAAAATAGGAAACAGTCTGGCAGGAAAAGGAAGCAAACGAGAAACATGAATCAGTTTGGAAAAATATACAAAATGCATATGTCTAAAATATATGAGCAGTTATTTAATCTTGGCTCCAACAGAGAGGAACTATTTGAGTTAGTGGAGATGTTTTCATTGTTGTTGAGGTTTTCCAAAATACAGCCTCTTGTTTGTTCTGTATTTCTTTTGGAATTGAAAGACCTACATGTTCTTGGAAAACCTCTAAATATTCAGAATAATACAGAGTTTGTAATGAGGTAGGAATAAACACAGTACTACAATCTGATATATGAAGATGTTGCATGTTTTCTAATAAACAGCCTTTGAAATGAAGGGGGATGCCATATTTTTCAGATTTTTATTTGTTAAAAATGTGAAAAATCATGCGCAGTTTTTCTTCCATTTCACAATCATGTGTGTCTTTTTGCTCAGTTACATAAAATTCTGAAAGGTTTTTTTTTTTGTAACATGGAAAAGAAGAAGAATCTTTTACCGGTTCCTAAATATGCAGCAGGTTACTGCAAGGCCTGAATAGCTCAGTGGTGTGGACTGAAGGCCCAGTCTTCATGTTTGGGGTTTAAGTTTCCACCAGTGGAAACTTCTTTACAGTAATAACACCTTCACCACAGCAGTGGAGGGCCAAACAGTTGACACTATTACACACTGAGGTTAGCAGACTGTTAGCAAAGGTGCTTGAAGGGAAAATTCATAAAACTTCAGCGTTGCTATTTAAATTAATTTGACATTTTATTGTTTCTCAAAGCGGTGTTGTACTTGCAATACTCATTTGGCAAACACTGCACCACATTCAAACATGTTTAAATCAATCATGTGAGTTGTCTTTTTCTTGCTTCAGATATTTACTCCTTTGGTCTCTTTACTCTGGAGTACACACAAGCCTCTTCTGTGTCCCCTCCAAGCCGTTGTTCTGTACTCCTCCTCAGATTCACTGCGGCATAATGGAGACTTCCTGGCTCACGCTCCTGCTATGGGTGGAAAAAGTGGAAATTACTGTAAAAATGAAACCTCTGAAGCATGGTTGTACTTGAATAGCTATAACGCAGTAAATTAACGCTCAGTTCACACAGGAACGTTTTTTTTTTTCTAAAACTGCCTATCTGTTTCAAAGACCCCCCACGTCCACATGGAAACAACAAGAATGTCCCAAAATGCCATTTTTTACTCCTCCAGACCTCTAAGTGGCCCTAAACATGGAGAACGCATAAGGCCTTTACATAAAGCGATAAAGACGACAAGAATGGCAAACTACAAATCAGTGGAGACTGTTGTGTGGAGCTTCTTCTCCATGTCACATTAGATTATAAAACTGATAAACTACAAGATGATGAATTCTTTGAGGTTGTAGGTTAAAGGCTTAGCGTTTTCACAAAAGAAGTGTTTTTGATGTCCATATGATTGTGAAAGCAAAATTGGTAACATAGAGATTGTACCAATTTTGCTAATAGTAGCCTAAACTTGAGGCTTTGCTACTAGCATCTTATTTGCCAGTATTAGCTACATTGCTATCAAGTAACAACTCAATCTGAGCATTTAATTTACCTATAACTAACATAATCTACTATATGGATTAGTTCACCTTCCTTAAATTACCATCCCAAAATTGGCTAACATTCCCTAATTAGCATACAATGGGAATTACTAACATACCATTATTAGCTAAAGTGGTGACATGATAGCATTATCATGATAGCCAGCAGTAGCATAATTTATATTAACATAATCTTATTTTTGCTAATAATAATTTTAAGAAGAAGAACACCAATAACTAGGAATAAGAACAAATGTATTTATAAGGTGCTTTTAAGGAAAGCGCTGAACAACTAGAAGGAGATTAAAAAAGTAATACTAAGATGGCAAAAAAAAAAAATTATTGAAATATTTTTCTGGACTTACCATAGCTGCTCTGGTTGAAGGAGGTCTCTCATTGGCATCAACTCCTGTAAACCAAAGTATGACTGAACCATGCGGTCAGGCTGATGCAGATAGATTATTTAAATTTATTTCATGGTCTCACCTTCACAGACGCTCTTGAGTTTTAAGCTTAGCTTGTACATGAAGGAAGTCAAAACAAGGACCCCGATGATAGATAGTGCCAGAGCTGCACTCAAACAATACACCAGGAGAAGCGGGACTATAGTGGGTGATGGGAAAAAAAATAGTTGCGTTAATATTTGATAAAACAAGATTGTTTTAATTCCTGTTAATCTGGTTGAAAAGATGCTTTGACTAGGCCACATACCTATAATTTCTACCTTTGTTCCCCCTCCAAAAACAACCACACCACAGGAAGCCAGAGCACAGTGGTAGGTTCCTGCATCTGAGGACCTCATCAGATCTAGCATGAGGTTGGAAGTGCAATATTTACCACGAAATGTGCCGTTGAAGCCGCTTGTACAGTGACTGTCACTGGGATACAGGAGTCCGGGTTTCAACCCGGCGTCTCTGAACCAATAGAGGTCCGGTTCTGCTGCACAGGGTTCCGCGTAGATCCTGCAGCTCAGGTTCACAGACTCTCCAAGGTGTAGTAGTTTCAGCTTTGGTTGACGAAAGGGCAACGTTGTGTTTTTTGATGGGGATGTCTTGACATGGAGGAATACTCCTTGTCCAAACACAAGGTCAGCGTATCTTAGAAAAGCGCAGTAATATGTTCCTGAGTCCGAAGGCTGAAGATTTGAGATCATCAGATCGTTGACGCCATTTGCGGAGTTTGCAACAACTTGAAATCTTTTTTTGTATGCAAGGGGAATTTCAACTTCCGTGTGGTGCCTCATCCACTTTGATACAATGTGAGGCTTCCCACCCGGGCTTTGTTGAAACCAAAGGAGGTAATTTGCAGAATCATGCTTACAGGAGCAGGATAAAGTCACTGTCTCTCCAACTTTAGCGGTCCTAATCCCAGTCTGCTGATGCATATCTGAGGCATTGTTGGTAGAGAGCATGTCACCTGTATGGAAAAGCACAGATTTAATATATTTATAATTCTAAATATTCACTATTTTAAGAGTCAAATGACCTGAAAAATACCACAAATACTCACTGTTTTTGCAGAAGATCAAAAGAATCACAAACAGTAGCTCCATCTTCAAAGCGTTGTGGTCTGTATTCTGGGTTATTAGACAAACAAAGATCACATATGAGATCAATTCTGTTTGTGATTGGCTAGTATAAATGGTTAAGTTCAACATTCAGACTTGTGATTGGTTCCAGTCCATACAATCTGAGTGATGAGGTGACGGGAGGTGGAGTTGGGGTCAGTTCAACCCTTTCATCAAACAAAGGGCAGAGGGTGGGACAAAGCTGATACCATGTGAAGGAAACTTTGCATCGACGAGAAACTGTTATATTGGTTTTTCACCTGTTGGTTATGTTTATGTTGCCTCAATATTCCTTACTTGAAAAAAACTCGAAAGAATATTTAACAAGTTTTTGTTTAAAGACAGTTTCAAGATAAAACTATGAGTAGGAGATGGAACTTTTATTGTGGATCTTTTCACTTTATTCTTTTTGAAAAATATACGTAGTACTTTATCACAAGCTGACTCTGTTTTAACTAAAGTCTGTTCTAGAACACAGTAGAAATCGTCTTCCAGCAAATAAAACGGGGTTCTTCAGGCGTTCCCTGATGCATGCTGCTGGTTTTCCAACGGAATTGAACAATAGTGTTTATGGCGAAGTCACTCAGCTTAAATGACAGTAGCAACTGTAAAACCAGTAACGTTCACAGTCTTTACAGACTAAAAAAGAAGACTAGATTTTTTTTTCACACCTGAACTGTTACCAATAAAGTTTTCTTTTTCATTTTTTTAAAAAGCCCAAGTTCCTGGTCCAAAAATCCAACAAACTTTATTTGTTTGAATATTATTATTTTTAAGTAAAAAGTGTCATTTTGACTCTTTTTATGAAGAATCCATATAAAATCTGAATCATTGAAGATATTAGTAGCTGGGCAATAAATCAGTGACAATACATATCACGATATACAGGTGATCAATATCAATTGATAACCCATCCAATAAAATATTCAATAATTTCACTGATCTCCAAACCAGAACCGCACAGCATTCTGGGAAAAAAGCTTGGGTCGCTCAACCTCTGAAGGCCAGCTAAGCAAGTTTGATAGCATCAATTGGCCTCAGTTATTGGTTACCTAGCAACAACCTGTTGAGTAACCTGCACAGCAGTTTCAGGTTTCACCTCAAATTACTTAAAAAAAAAAACAACAAAAAGAAAACAACTGTGTTCAGTGAAAACTGTGGATAAAACAGGAAAAGTCACTCCACCAGTTTGGCAGTACTTCAGCTTTTTAAAGCAAAAAACAAATCGATAATTATCGATTATATTGTCGACTGACATGAGATGCAAACTCAATTTTACTTAATTAATTTAGGTTCTACATTACTTTTAAGTATTTCTAATGAATATTTTTTATTGTATTTATTTACTAAATTTGTAGTTCAGTAATTTTAGCCTTTGTTTTTTCTTTTTTTATTTGGACAAACTGAACATTCTTCAGAGACCAGAGATAAAAAAAATAGTCTTTGGAATTTATTAAGAAGGATGTTAATAAACGTGTCCCTGCCAAATAAATTAAAATTATTGTTACTGAGCAACACTTAACGTTTCAAACTACCTGAGTCATGCAGAGTCTCTGCGTAGGACGACTCCCTAATGTTTTCTTAGACATTAAGTATTAAAACGCAACACTAATCCTGAGATTGTCGCCTCAGATAAATGCAAGAAAGAGCAGGAAGTGTTGCCTTGTGAAAATATGTTTCTGTTATCACAAGAAAATACAAGTTTCTTTTGATTCCCCACACGCTTGCTGGAAATTTGTAAACTTTGCCAAGACAAAGCCGTTGCAAAGTACATTTGTGCGTAAGTGAAGGTGGAGCCCTGTTCGTTGGTTTTGACGAGTATCAGTAGACGTATCTATGTGAACGAGGTCAGAAGTGTTATCGTGCAGCAGAGCGAACGGGCCTGCAAGCAACCAAACAAACATCCTGCTTGTAGGACAGGAGAGACCGACGAAACCACAAGAGCTAGAGGCAGTGAGAGCGAGCTTGACCAGAGCAGGAAGTCAGAAAATATATTTATTGATATGTATGTGTGTGTGAGAGTGACTGGGTTTGCATGGTTTTTTTTTTTTTTTTTTTTAGCACAAACATTTTTCTACCCATTTTATTAATGGATTAATGCATCATATTGTCAGCAACTATTTATTTATTTTTACCTGCTTTAACTCCTTTATGTCACTGTTTCATTTCTCGTTTTGAAGTTTTCTCAGACTGATCGTGTTCATGTCGCCCCCTCTAGTGGACACTAGACAAACTGCAACCTCATGTGAAACCCCCCCCCACCCTAACTCATTCATTTCTGTAGGCTTTATATCTGCTTAAAGAAAGAACGGAGACACCATTATTAACAATCTACTGCTATATTATACATTTATTATTACTATATTATCTAAAATCTTCCATGCGTTCAAAGTTTTATTTTAAAAGATTCAGCAGCTGTTTGTGCGCCTTTTGGCCAGTAGGAGGCAGCAGTAGCTCACCCAAATATCTAATCAATCTTTATAAGATATTTATTTAACAGATTATTTTTAAAATCGTGGCAGAATGTAATTTTAATCAGTAGCTTTGGTCTCAACAGTCTTAATATTTTGCCCGTTCATTTTTAAGCAGTAACAACAAGGCCGCTGACGCGATAAATCAAGCAAAAAGTTGCAGTTCGCTTTTACTGCCACCAGAGGCTGCTATGACCGTAGCTCAGAAAACATGAAGTTAAAAGACTTTAAACTATGACATTTATGAAGTTCGTGAGGCGGAAAAAAAAATGTTTTTGACATGAAACACTTATTTGCTAATATGTATGAAAACCAGCAAACGGGTGAAACATGAGTGAAAATGAATCACTTCTATTTTTACTCATGAGAATCTATTATTCTGCAAACCATGACCATGAGTGTAATTACTAGGAAATAGGCAATTTTACTATTAATGGGGTAAATTGAGACAACTTTTTAATGAAGAGAAAATTAGTGGAAAAAAAATTATATATATAAACAACAATAAATCCAGATCGCAGGAAAAAGAACATTTCATCTGGAAAAACCACGTAAAATAATTGTCATGATCGTGTTTCTGTGTATTTGGTTTTGGAGTTTTTTTGTGTTCAGTTTGCTCCCTGTGTCTCTGTCTCTGCGTCTTCCCCGCTGATTGTTTCCCAGGTGTCTCATCCCCTTGATTACCCCGTGTGTATTTAAACCCACCTGTTGTCCTTGTCTCTTGGATCCTTGTCGTATGATGCCTGCTTCTCCGGGCTGTTCTCCGTTGTTCTGTGCCTTTGACTTTCATCATTAAATATTCATCTTCATCACAACCTGGGTCTACCTGCGTCCTCATCCTCACCTTAACCCCACCGTTTATGACAATAATTGCATTAAATCTAAATGTTTAATTATTTATAATGCAAAAATATTATTTTGAAACTTTAAATTGTTTAAAGTCTGTTTTACACTGCTAAAACAGACTTTAAGCAAGTAAAAAAAGGAAAAAAACTACTTTCAGTTTAAGATCTATGCAGATCTACTTTTGAGAAAAAAAAGTTAGTTTGTGGTGCTATGTGCTGTCAAATTAAAACAAAAGTACAAAAAGTGATTTTTTCTTCTTTGTTGCTTTGTTTCTGTAATACACTTATCTTTTTTTGTGTGTGGAAAAACATACCTTCTTCACAGATCAAAGAGATCAAACCTGATCCTCACTTTTAAAAAAACAACTCTGCAATTATTTTTGACATTTTACTCCAGGTTAGAGGATGGGCAGATTCCTCAAATGCTGTTAGTATTTTCTGCAGTTCACTCTATGACTCACTCACTGTGATGATGTCTTTCTCCAACTTCCTTATGACCCTAAACGTTTTTAAAGGTTGGCTGTGTCATCCTTGCGTGACTTTTGATGTTTCAGAACAAGGAGCGACTTGTATCCTGAACCAGGGATCTGACAGGTATCTGTGAAGAAGGTTGTACCGTTTTAGGGTTTCACAGGAACAGCTTCGTTCTTCTCTCTTTACAGTGGAGGATGGCTGTTCACGGCGCAGACAATTTCCACAATTACATAGCGCAGAGCTGGAGAATCGCACATTAGCAATTAGCTCCATCCACAGGGAGATGAATGCAGTCGGTTTTTGTAAATAACTAAGAACATTGTGAGTTCACACAACAGGACGCGTCAGTGTCTTCTGAAAACGATGTTGTAGGTATGTGGGACCAATCGGTGGCTCTCTTACACTCCCACAGAACAACATTCGACATCAGCACCACGTTGGTTTTTTTGTGACAGTGAGGCACAAAAACATGAAACATCTTTTGAAATGTTGCCACTCTGGAACTCTGAAAGTCCCACCTGCCTGTCCCTAAACATCTACAGTACGGATGTCAAAAGTCGGTTCTCGAGGGCCGGGATCCTGCGTGTTTCAGTTCTCTCCCTGGACCAAACGATGGCTCATTAGTCCGGACACATTATAGAATCGGCATTGAAACTGTATTTCTCCAACTCAAGAATAGTGGAGGTTTATGAGGAGAGAATAGTTGCTACAGGAGATTCAAGGATTTATTAAATATCCATAAAAAAAATAAAAAAAATAAAAAAAAATCAAGGCACTGGTAGAGATGTGTTTATGATGAAGGGATAACATTATAACATAATGTAAATGGTCCAAAAAGTCCATTTTCTTACATTGTAAAAGCCATGAATGTTTCATCATCCACCTGTTATTGTTCTGACCAAACAGCAATGACAGTTTTCTGTTGTTTATTTGAGGACTTTCTTTCAGCCGATCAGATTTGTCCTGCCTTGCTGGATTTTTGTTTTGTATGTAACGCCACAGCAAACGGTTGTCATGGACCTGCAGGGTGGGATCTTGAGCGTGAGGTCACGTTGCAACATGTTTAAAAAGGGCGAGAAAGCTGACTCCCGCTTGTGCTTTTCAGACAGTCTCATTGTCATGGGCAGACTTCAGGTGAGGAATTGCTGCTGTTTCGGCTCAGAACTGATCTGAGGCAGATATTGATTTTTTTTTTTTTTTCATTATTATTATCACTCAGTAATTCAGCAGCTTCTGTCATCTCCTGGCTTGTCATGTTTAGACTGGTTATCCAGAGCAGGTTTTAGTCTAAACCATCCGTGGCTCCATGTTGTGCCATGAATGAATGTTTGGGTTTCACGGCTCAAGCTGTGGATAGTTTTGGTTTCCTCTTAGGAGTTTCTAGATCTGACATGATGTCTTTGTTTATTTAAGACTTTTACTTTGTGGCAATCAAAGCTTGTTTCCAACATTCAGGTTTTTCTGTCCAGCATGTCTGAACTGGCCCTGCTGACTGAGAGATAAAACTTAGAACTTTAAAGCTGATTTACAGACAATCCTAATCATCAAAAACCACACTGAGTTTTTTGTTGTGGTTGTTGATTCTTGCATCAAACTGAATGGCTATCTGTATTTAAATGTTTTAATTTCCTGTAATTTTCTCCCACTGTGAGTGTG